TGGGTAAATACAATCAAAACAAGCGAGCTAGTGTAGCGAGAAGTGGCTCATGACAAGAGAAATCACTAAACTTGGACTCCCTTTTTGTTTACATTTTGTGAAGAGGGAAGATGAACTCAGTGTTGTCTTTGTGTTGTTTAATTCAGTGGTTTTTGGTGTAGCGCCCCCACAGGTGAGGAGGGGAACATGCAGCAGCTAAAAATGTAGCCAATGTTGCATCTTTGTCACTTAAACTCAATGTTTCTGAGCAATTTTGAAAATTTGTGGTAAAATTTTATAAATGCGGGGATTTGTGGATTTTGTACAAATTTTGCAAATTCATGAAAAACAGGAGGGACTTACTGATGTGATTTTCAGTCTTAAGGGCCACATAAAAAGCTACGTCGGGCCAGATTCGGCCCACAAGCCTGAAGTTTGACACACACATGCTATCGAGTACTCTATCATTTATTTACTTCTTGATCTGGGACCTGAGTTCGAATTTCGTACAATACGAAAATGATATGACAATAAAAGTTGAATTTTAACTGAAAATCATCAGAAAATGAACAACTATAATAAATAAACTGCAAGCCATCAGAAACTTTGACATACTTTTGCTGTGTAACGTTTGTCAAACGCTACCATATATCCGTAGCAGGCCAGCAACAAAACCCTTCATCATTTCTCCACATTGCAACAGATTATTGCTCCATAACGGCTTTGTGAGCCGAGAGGAGACAGGCAGCGTCTTGGCACCGTGTTGATGCTGCACTGCTGCTGCTCCTCTTGATGGCTTCTCAATGCAGCATTGCAGTAATTTTCCATAAGTCTGTGTGACTAATGGCGTAAACAATGGGGCTGAATGTTCATGTTATGGAGCCATTATGGCGCTATCAGAGCACAGGGACGGGGAGACTGATGTCTTTGATCAGCTGCATTGTGGGAGCCAGGTGCTGGGGACGGGGATTTGTGTCTTAAGAGTTGCTTTTAAGAGCCTCATTGACACAAAGAGACGGCGCAGAGGAGGAAGAAAGAGATGCAAGAGCTGATGAGGAAGAGACAGGAGAATATCCAGCTAAGTGTTTTGTTTTTACAGACCATTGGTGAAGCAATGGATCGCTGAAATGACTTCTAGCCTTTTGTTGCAGCCACACAAATTAGCTAATTTCCTTATACAGCATAATGGGGAAAGTGTTGTCATGCAAAAGTTACCTCAATTCACAAAAGTTTAGCAGCAGATCACTAAAAAAAACCCACACACACGACGCTGGGAATAAAAAAGCGTCACACAAAGTTAGGGCAGCATCGGCCACTGCAGGAACGTGGCTCCAGTTTTAGTCCCTGGAGAAATCTCAATAAATGACATTTTATTCCACTTCAGTTGCATCATGTTTGATGTGAAAACCTCCAGCTGAAAGATGCTAATCTGAAATAAAAAATAAAAATCCCAGCTGCAGCCCTGGGAAAATGTCCAGAAATCCATCTGCATGCAACACACTGAATTAACGTCAGCGCTGCATAAAATATTTATAGAATATTCATATAATAATGGAGGAACACTAACGGTAACCATTCAACTTAAAAAATAAAACATATTAATAGTCAATGTAATAACATATTAAATAAAAAAGGAATAATTAGAACATAATGAATGAAATGTACACAATTGAGTTGAAAAAAATAAAGAAAAACTGAAAAAATATGTAATCAAGTCATATTAAGAGGTTATTTAAAAATCAAATAATTACAAAAAAGTAGAAATAGTGTCATGTGCCTAAAAAATAAAATACAAAACATTTTAATTTTGTCTCAACTAAACAAAAAGCTAAAATAATGGAAAAAATTTAAGATGGAGAATATATGTCAATAAAAAAAATACTAAGTAAAAATGATATACAGATTAAATTGCAAAACTAGATGACAAATTAAATAAAACCCAAGGTGTACATTTTTAAAATAAAAACTTAATATGAACATTTTATCATTTATTATCAGATATGAGCAAAGAATAGTTTAAAAATATAAAAAAATTCAGTTATTTAAGTTAAAACAAAATATAAATATTACAACTTTTGCCTTTTTAAAATATATATAAAAAATTTCAATGAATGTGTTAAAATGTATTTGTGTAAAATGAAAAAACTATTTAAAATAAATGTAAAAATTATTTTGTACTTTTTCAAACAATGTAATACATTTTAGATGAATGGAAGAAAATAATATTAATGAGATAATCATGAAATCTGACCTTCTCTACTGGAAACGCTTCCATTTATTGAAATGGGCGGTCATTAAAGGGCCGGCGCGCTCTGATTGGCTCACACACTGAGTCCACAAACCTCACACCATCACTGCGCCGCCGCTTTATGGGCAGCAAGATGTTTAAAACGAGCTCCTGACAACAGATAACATCTGAAAGGCGCTGAATCCATTATGGTGGCTGATGTTCCAGGAATGGGAGCGGAGAAAACAGACTCGTCTGGAGGTTTGGCGCAGGAGGGAGGGGGGTAAGAAGAGACGGACAGGGGGCAGGAGGAGACGCCCCGCCGCGGAGCACTTGCTCTATCTGCTTGGGTTTTCTGCACATGGCTGCATTGATTATCAACAACAACCAAAACCTTACAAATTCGCACTGAGAGGAAACCAAGAAAGTCGTCCTTTGAAATTACCAACAAGTTTTTGGAGAAAAGCAAATCGATATTTAATTTCTGATCGTTTCTACAGCTACAGCAGTCCCACCGCTAACGGTGACCCTAACAAGCTGCACAACAAGCATAAAGCAACACTGAAACCAAGAACTAAATATTTAGTTAGCAAGCTAAGTACTTAGCTTCAAGTTTAATTTTTAGTTAGGAAACTAAAACAAATATTCAAATTAATTTTCAAATAAATATACAGCTACATATTTATCTAGCTGATAAAAAGTTTTGTTTGAAGCTTAGAATTTAGCTTCAAATTAAATATTTATTTAGCAGACTAAATATATACCTAGTACTTACTAAATGTTTAGCATGAAGCTACATACTTAGCTTGTTAACTTAATACTTAGTAAGAAACTAAATATTTAGCTTCAAAATAAATATTCAGTTGGCTAAATATGTTGCTTCAAACAGTAGTTAAATGGCTAGCTAATCAATCAATCAAAATTCATTTGAATATCGGCTTTCTTCAACAAGGCATTTCAAAGTTCTTAAAACACAAAAATACAAAGTCATACTATAATGCCGACAACATTACATTTTGCACATCAGATTATTGATTAATGTTTTATGATTAGGTTTCAAAAGTAACTCTAAACAGCTGAGTTTTAGTCTAGATCTAAAGGAACCAAATTTGTGGCGCACAGAAGCTGAATGCTGCTTCTCCATTTAGCTTGAAGCTAAGTACTTAGCTTGCTAACTAAATATTTCGAACCAAAAATATTTAGATATTGATATACTAACTGAACTGAACCTCCATTTTTCCCTCCAACAAGCCAAACTAATTTCTGACTGTCGCCATAAAAAACTTTGAGCTCAGTGATGTAATAATTGCTGGTGTGTTTGTCTGCATTCGTTTCAACGCTGCTGATATATGTCATCACGTCTGAACACGCGAAATACCCCAGCTGCCGTAACGGCAACCATTAATGTCCCGCCATAACACTTCGTCATGACGAGCATCATCCACACAGCTGGCCGACACAACTGCCAATCACATTAACTGGCCAATTAAACTCGTAATGCGACACGCAGGACATAACCAATTACCTGCAGTCGGCCAGATGCAACCTGAAGGTAAAGCCAGATGCTTAATTACAAAACTGGATGTAAATTGAGAATTATGGAAATCTGAAGGGCTTTCAAAAACAAGCCCTAAAGAAGGAGATGAGCTTTTAAAGGCCCAATTCAATGAAAAAGGTTTCAAAATAATGTTGGGAAAGAAGATTGAGATCCTATGAGATCGTGTTCTGTCTGTCGTTTGGATTCTTGATTTAATGCTTGTTTTTGTTGGACTTCAACTTTCACCTCAAACAACATCAGAAAGCTTTAAAATAACTGATAATTATTCATAATTTTGGTCTTTAACGTGAAACCCTTAACGAAAGGGGTGATTACTTGTTTAAAATGAGAGTACAGTTGATATTTTTGGAAACTTGAGCGGTCTCTCTCTCTCTAAAGAGCGCCCATTTCTGATTGGTTGCTCAGTCCCTCTTGATGGCTCCACAACTCTAACTCTGACTGCACCTCGTCACCAAGGTTTTGTCTTTCAGGACGCAGAGTTTTGTCAAACTTTGTGAGATCTGGATGAATCTCAAGTTTTTTTTCACCTTCCTCTCTTTTGTGTCAATTTTTGGAAAGTTACATTTTTCCTCTATTGACCCTTTGAATGCGAGAAAGCGGAAAACAATGCCATGATGGACGTCTGAACAAACAACATTAATTCCAACACCATTAAACTTACTCTTCAAAATAAACTAAAATAAAAAAAAAAAGATTAGTATTGATCGTTAGTCGTTATTTGAATCAGAAGTGAACAGATATTAAGTTTGATTAGTAATAAATTTAATTCTAGTTGAGGTTTATACACAGAAATTAGATATTTTTGTAAATATATTAGAAATAGCTCCTTGGAAAAGTAAACAATTTAAACTGATTTTTTTTTTTTTTTTTACGTTTTTAGTTTGACGTGCTTTAACTTCACAGCAAAAATATTTTCCAGCACAGAAAGAAGGTCATGTTGATGTTATCGCAAGCAGACAAGAAAAAGGTTTTTCCATGTTTCGCTCTGAGGGGAGTTAAGGAAAAAATTATCCTGCAAAACAAAACCATTAAACTATGATTTGACAGAGCAACTTCAGGAAGAGATTAAAATCAGATTTACAGACTGAATACATGCAAAATCTAATGTTTTGATCCCAAATGAATTCTCAGGTTTACTGTTCCTCCCAAAAGAAATAAAGAACATTTATGCAAAGACATGCCGCAGATAAATAAAGGAGCAGAAAAGTGAAAGTGCTGGCTACAGTTGGGTCTTACCAGGTCTCTGTGGGATTGCTTCTGGGGTTCAGCGCTCTAAAAAACGTGGAGGGAAACGGGGAGAGGAAGCAGAAGAACCAAAAAGAGTCAAGAAAAAGATATTCACAAACTGAAACTGTTCAAATTTGATTGTGTGAGTTTGTTGCAGATGGAGGAAGATAGAAACATGAAACGGCGTTGTGGAGAAATCAGCATGCAGAAGATGGAAATGATGAACCTCAGCCGACAGACTGATAAATCAGTCTTTATAGAAATAATCTTCAGTTGTGATGCAAGGGACGTATGGCTCTCCACCCAGGGTGATATACCAGCAAAGGGCAACATGAGCGCCTCCAAAAAACAGCAAAAAACAACTTGAACATAACGGCAGACGTTTCCAGCGACCAATCAGATTTTTGTTTTAAAGCAAAAATTCAGTTCGTTGTCATTGTTAGCGGATGTAGCTTGTGCATCAGATTTACAGGCGTACCAGAAACACGACACGAAGGTTCCGCCATGAAACTGCTACCATGTCATCATCTCAGACTAGAGGTTAATTTAAATATCTTTGAAAATATATTTTTTATTGCTGTCCCATTTTGTTTGTTTAGCATTTTTTTTATTTGTAGTATTGTTTTACAGATTAAATGCTTCAACCTGGTGGAAATGACAGAGCAGCTCACAGCAATTTTCCTCCAAACAAAACGCCATTCATGCTGTTCTTTTCTCGTCAAAGCATCGCACAACCAAGACTTTTTTTTCCTGCTTCACAGACAAAAAAAAAAAAAAAAAGGTTTATTTTGTTTGGTGGGAACGGATTTGTTTCAGCTAAACTATAAAAGAAGAAAATACAGCGAGGCATTCCTGGCAGCTATGACGCCCACACACAGACTCAGAGGATTGGGTTGCCAGATCCCGTTCCCATCCGTCTCCAAGCAGCTGATACAAAGACTTGGATTGTTTTGTTTTACAGTTTGTTTTGTTGCCTGATTTCATTATGCAATCTATTTGTTATGCAATGATAAATACAGTAAAGTTGGACTAAATTGTTAAAAAAAAAAAAAAATCAGTGCAGTTAGGGAATGTTTTTAACTCTGCCTGATTAAATTCCGTCATTTTATGCAGGATGTTTTGCAATATTGCCTCAGTAGAATAAGAAGTAGCTAAATATTAAAAATAATTTCAGATATGACATTTTATATCAGTGATACAAGCTTTTAAAATACCAGCAGCAGAAACGGTTTAACGCTGAAGTGGGAGCCACCTGTGGCACTGATATAACAGCTGCTCATTTTATGTTTTCATTACTCTGCATTAGGTGTAATTTATTAGACTGAGTGCCTGTTGATTCATTTAAATTCAACTTACAGTTGGAAATTTAAATCCAATCATCATGGCCATGAAAATTGCATAGTTTTTGTTTCATTTCAACATTTCTTCCTCTTACCACAGATTCTGTAAATTCTCAGCTGTGAAGCACGGTGGTGGCAGAATTATGCAGAGGGACTGCTTCTATGCCAGTGTGAAGGAGCCATGAAGAAGTCATTTTTAAATTTGACCTCAAATTAACAGACAGTACACATTGGCATAAAATTGGGTCAACAATTCAAAATGTCCATCAAACTGGTTTTGAAATGGAAACCTGAAATAATACCTGACCTATGACCCCAAAGAGAGCAGGAGGAAGCTTAAACCATCGCTTCCGTCCATCAGTGTAAGGATCGTATCCCCTACTCCGACATCTGACCACGCAGCCAGACGGAGGTTTAAAGTGGAGCAGCAAAAGCAAATGAGGTGGATCAGAGTTTGAAATAAATAAAATATTTTTGAATTTAACTGAATTGGTTTTAATTTAAAACTGCTGCTGCTTGATAACGGATATTCAGAGGTTAGTGCGGGTTTTAACACGCTACATAGATGTTTTTGAGTCACTACATGTTAAAAACAAAAAACAAATTCAAACATAAGCCAACTTCTTGATTTTAACACTTCTGTCAAAGCTGCAGTATGCAACGTCAATAAAAAAAATATGTATATATCTACTTATATTTGTTGAAACTGTCTCCAAGTCATGACAGGATAATATGAGACGGACAATCTGTGATAAAAATAAACTTTAGTGGTGACTAAAATCAACCAATAAGAGCCAGGAGGCGGGGCTTAGTGCTGTCAATCACTCTCAAGCTAGCCTAGCATAGCCACCGATAACAGAGTATAAACAATAACAATAAGTTGTTTCTCCGCCGTTAATACATTAAGCAGCGAGTACATGAGGATGATTGACAGCGTCGAGACCTTCCTCCTCGTGCTGATTGGTTGATTCTGGTCACATTTGTAGATTATCTGTCTCATTTTGCACAGATAAAATGAGACGCATAAAAACTGTCACAGCAGATAAAACATGGTAACAGTTTTAACAAATATGTAAAAAAAACAATTTTACAAAAGTTAAATACTTTAAAGTATTTTAAAGATTTTACTCTGAAAATGGGAACAATTCAGATGAATAAGAGAAATTAGGCTACATTTTTTGTCCCCTTAAGTTTATAAAAGCTGCAAAAAGTTGGCATATTTCGACTTAAAAGATTTGTTTTTATTTCTTTATCTGTTTGTGGACCTGAAAAAGCTTCAAGTTCAACGTTTAGAAACTCCAGACACGCTTCAATCATAAAGATTTCCGTCTCTGTTTGTCGGCAGCGAGATGTGAGGACGGCGCCTGATTGATATTCAAGCCCAGTTTGTTTATTTCCTCCCTTCTTGCAACCTGGCCTGCGTCTGTCTGCTCGTTCCCACATCCATCAATCTGAGAGTCAGCTCTGAGGTAAAACACACAGATGGAGGCGGAAGTGAAGAGATGCAGAGGGGAATAAGCAGGAGAGATAAAGATAAAGAGCGAGATCTCTGCAGGTTTGCCTCCTGATAACAGAGGAGAGCGGCGACAGGGCGGTAAAATCGATCTGCACGCTCAGACGGAGCGAAGTGAAAAGTTGTGACAGCTCACTGTGAGCAAACACACAGAGGAAGACGAAGGGATGAAGAGCAGCTGCGGAGGCGGAGACTCACCACTTCTCGGGGTGGGAAAGCGTCTTCCTGGCGTAGAACCAGCAACCCCACCGCGCCGCCCATCGGAGTGTTCCTGAGCAACGAGACGACCTCCTCCTGCGTCCGGCCGTTCAGGTCCACGCCGTTCACCTGGACCGCAGCGAACATGGCGTCAGTCACACTTACAGATTCCTCCACTGAATTTCACTGAAAACGTTTTTTTAAATCAAACTGCAAACAATACAAGTTCCTGGGTGTGAACTGAACACATTTAGATGTCAATTATTGAAACATTGGGTGGATGGACAGATCATTGGTAGCTGTGAACTCAAAGTAAATTAAACTGTTGATTTTGACAAACATCCCATCAAATGCCATGGAGACGATTGTCAGAAAGTTGAGCAAAAATTCAATAAGAAATCTATCAGTTTAGAAACTGATCAGTTGACGGATCAGAATTGATTTTGGGGGAACTTAAAACAGCCTGGAAATATTCTACTACAGGAGGATTACAAACTCAACACAAGCAGATGCGTCTTCATTTTTAGACTTAATCCGCAAAGTGTCTTCGAAACAGATTTAGTCAGTTTTTAAATAATTATACTGAGATTCACCGAAGAGATTCTGATTTGAGCCGGAACGTCTGAGCCTCGCGGTGTAATAATCTTTCATGCAAATGACTTGCAAAGAGGGATGACGCAACTTCAGACGCCGTTCTCTCGCTGCAGCACAAGAGTTTGAGAAAAACGCTCTGATTTCTGAACAAGACGCATAATTTCCACATCAAAACCAGCAGCTTTAATGAACAAAACTGTTGGCAGGCAGGTTTGACTGACAATCGTGTTTAAACTGAGAGAACGTCTTACCTCCAGCAGCCGGTCTCCGGCCTTGAGGCGGCCATCTTGGATGGCGGCCCCCCGGGGGAGAATGTTCTTGACGTAGATCGGAGCGGAGCCGCCGATGGGGACGTCACGCGACGTTATGCTGAAGCCGAGTCCCTCTGGGCCTTCAGGGGAAAAAAAAAAAGAGAAAGATTTAATGGTGGGATTTGGTTTGACCTGAAGGCAGAAGTTCGGATCCAAGTGGCACGGCTCGCACGGGTCTGATGTAAGACGCGGCAACAATGGTGGAGAAACGGTGCGGTTCAGAACGAGGAGGGGAACACGACACATGTATCTGGGCAATTACATCAGATGCTCACAGGAAATAACAGCCGACAGCAGATAACTGGCATATGTAGAGTTACCAGATTTATGTCAATATTTAAACCTAATTATATTCAAATAAACGCTCCGGTCTCCTGAAATAACCTTCACAGATTTTATGGAGAATAATCTACGTGGAAAATCTGTAATCATTCATTTTCTGGTTGTCACTGAGCTGAGCACAAGATTCGGTCATTTATGTTTGATTTAAATTAAAAAAAATAAGAAACTGGAGGAAGAAACGAAAGTATTTGGGAAACCAGAGCAAGAACTCATGAAAGGAAGAAATACTTACACAACAAATAAGGGAAGGAAAGAAGGCAAGGAAGTAAGGAAGGAACAAGAACACAAGGAAAGAAAATCAAGTATTTTACAAAGAAGGGTAAGTAGGACCCAAGGAGGAAAAGCAAGGAAGGAGAAAGGAAAGAAGGAAGAAAGGTAGCAAAAAATGTAAGGACACAAAGAATGAAAGAACTACACAAGGAAGTACGCCGCTTCCTCCGGTAAACCGGAGCAGGAGGAGGATTTTCGCTCACTAGCATGAGTAGGACACACCTCTCCAGGCCGCCAAGTGATTCTGATACTCGGTGACCGGCGTGCGATTTGGAGGCGGGAGTTTAATCTGAGCCGTTGGCTGAAATCGGCACTCAGAACAAAACGAGAGAAGCCACAGCGGCTCCTGGGAACCTTCGTTAATCCCTTCGGAAACAGCAATGGAAACAAACGGGAGCAATGAGAACAGAGAGCATCTTTGGTCGGGGTTCAAACGGTTGACGTTTTATCTACATAAGAGAGGAGGATAACTTAATTTAGCTTTTAGAGTGTTTGCTAGATTTTCTTGTGTAAATAAAATCTAGTTGTTTCTTCGTGTAATGAGGGAGCATGTATGAGTCTGAAGACATTTCTCTGCTGCTAGCATGTGCGAAATGAAAATTAGAGCTTTCTTCTTTGAGTTCCAATTTCGACTTCCAATGATTCGCATCCTGCTAAAGAGCCCCCTCTGGTGGTTGAATAAAGATCCACAGAAAAGCCGCACCGGGCTTTTTTCATTATAGTTTAGTTTTATTTTTTTGCAACTTATTTGTTTGTGTAATCCAGCTAGTTTTAATTAGCTTTTAGAAATTGTTTTATTCGTTAGTTTTTGGCAGAAACAGCAGACGACATCGGATTGTTTTGTTAGTGGTAACTAAAATCACGTGACATGTCCATTTTAAACTCTAAATGAAAGAAATGAAAAATGAAAACAGTGAGGATTGTATCTATTTTGGTTTTATAAACACGTCATATTTCAAAGCAGTTAAACTGTAATTATTTCAGTTTATTTCTCAGTTTCAGTTTTTATCATTCTGTCAGTTTTGAAACCGAAGGAAGCAACAAGCAGCTGGGTTCTGGTTCTTTTTGTTGTTTTATTTTCGACAGCCTGGATTGATCCCAGTCCAATAAGAGCGGACAGATTTGGGTGAGGATTTCAGTGACACACAGTGATGCAGCCCCGTCAGACTCCTTTCAGGGACCAGCAGCTGCTTAGCAACAAGCTTCCTGGCGCCAACACCTGAAATCCTGCTGGCAGAAGATCACACCACCTGGGCCAGCTGTCACTCAGAACCGGCACCGCACAGACGACTCAGTCCTGACCCAGACTGCAGCTTTATTGGTTTCTTTCTCCAGGTTCTGAAGGTTCAAACCAACAGGTCTCACTTTCACATCAACTGGACCGGTTCTAGTGGTTCTATGTTAAGATAAGGGAATGGCTTCTTTAGCTATTAAACATTACCGACAAGGTTTAAGTGATTTGGACTTACATTTTTATCAGAATATTTTGCAGCACTATTGATAATGATCAAAATAATTGTAATTACTATTTATTGCTTCTGTCTTACTGCAGTCACATCCCCACAAATGTTGCTCTTAAAAAACATTTCCGTTTGTAACATGCTTCCTTAGGATACCAGACTCAAAAATGTGTGATTTGCATCCCTAACCTGCACACAGTTCAAATGATAAACGATACAATAAAAGCTCTGAAAGAAGCTCGAAGGTGTAACAGTCAAAAAATCATATAAATGCCTCCATGTTGCAGACATGCTCAGTTAATCTGTCCTCTCATGCTGGAACTGAAGGTAGAGGTACAGAAACCTTCGTTAATTTGATGCCTGTGATGGTATAATTGTGAACAGACAAAAAATGTGTGTATGCTTTTATTTTTTTTTATAAGTGCTCTGCCTGTTTTTAGAAGCAGTTAAAACCAAAATTTGGTACAAAAAGTGAATTGTGCATAAAAAGTCCCCTTTCAAACATGAAAGTTTTCAGAATAAATGAACTTATTATCCCTAAAACCTGCAGATTTTATTTCAACTCACCTTTCTTGAGCTGAATGTTAAACCGCCTCCCCACTTTTTTGGTGTATCCTGGCGTGGGCGTGGAGTTCAGCCCCCTCTGAGGTGAGTGGGTGTGGCCCGTGGGAGGTTTGGCCGCCATGACGGCAGGGTGGGTCAGGTGTGGGTATCCGTTGTTTGGGTCCGGGTGGGTCTGCGTTTGGGATCCGTGGCGGTTCATCCTCTGCGGGTTGTGATCGACGCCGGACAGCGAGTCTGGGCTGAAGCGTCCCGAGGAAAACGAGGGGTTCCTCTCGGCGTGCGATAGCTGCTCGTAGTGGGCCTTCATGGACGACGGCACCACGTGGAACATGATGACCGGGGAACGCATGGCCTGGCGGAACATGTTCTGTGCTCTAGAACAGGAACAAAGAGAACAAAAACAGGAGGATAAAGAGAGGAAGTTTTATTTTGGGTATGAAAAGAGCATCAGACACTCATCCAGTGTTAATCACATGGTGAAGCTCTCCACCTACCAGATGTCCATCTTCGCCCACCTGAACAATCTGACATGTTAATTAACACTTATTGCCAACGCAAGCAGCTCTAAAAAGAAACCAACCCCTCCCCGACTCCACCATCACATAATCTTCTCATTTGGCTGCAGATGAAGCAGACCGCTACACGTCGGCTTGTTCACAGAAAATCCTCTTTAAACCCCTTCAGAAGGTGTGAGTGGAAACTTGTGTTGCCTTGTTAGCACCACCTGTTTCCGTGCAGCAGACCCTGACAGCTGAGCGTTCGTTTAGCAAACTGAAAGGCTCCAGAATTTGAAACGCTTCCCCCTCCTATGGACTAACAACTTAAACTTGAAGGGTTTTTTGGCTGCATATTCCCAGCTGCTAATAATGTTCCCGAAAGACGTTGAGGTCTTTTCACGGCATCTTTACAATTTTTGGCCTCAAAAATGGAGTGCCAGACAGGATGTAATATGCAGCGCGCCTCTATAAAAACGCCTCTTAATACCAAGGACAACTGCTGCTCTTGTAAAATGCGTTTGCCTGGAAGGTTTATTCTCTCCCTCTCTCTCTGCAAAGGTTATGTTTCAGATGCTGGAAGGCAAGCTTTAACATAACAGGAACAATAAGGATTGAATTACTTTTTATTCTACTGCCAAGAAACCGGCTCCGTGCAAAAGTCTCGAGTCGTGTCTCATTACTTTATGTATTGCGTTGAAGAAGTCAGGATGTCTTGCCAAGTCCTTCTGCAGCTTTCATTGAGATTTGCACCAACCAATCCACTTCTGTTACCAACATCAGAGGTTCAGTACCAGCCAATAGATACAGAAAGACAAACCTGAACTGACTTAACAGGTCAGTTAAACAAAAATGTAATTTCAAATTTATGTGCAACAGCACAATTAAACACATCATTAGTTTCACAAGCTTGTAACAACAACTTTCATTTGTTCAGTCAGTGCAGTTAGGAGAATAAAATGTAAAAAAATAAACAGCAACAAACCTTTTATCATGTTAAATAAATAATTTCTTTATTTAAAATGTTCTTAGGGTTGCCACTGACTGAGAGGAAGCATGGATGTTGAAGCATTGACTAAAGAAAAATAAATTGTGAACCATTCATGCTTTTGTTGAATGACTTGTCTAAATTAGAGATCATATCCAAGTATTTCCATAAGCCATGTGATCGATTTCTGTCTTCTAAGAACAATATTGATTGAAAAAACTTCTCAAAAAAAACAAAAACAAACAGCAGTGAAAAGCAGGAGCTATAAATGTTAGCAGGCCTCCATATTTAGGAATGAAGAAAGTGTTAAAACGGGAATCAGGAGGAGCAGCACAGGGAAAAAAGCAGAGAAGATTTCAGGGTCAGCATCAGAAGTTAGGAGCTAAACTGGGAAAGGTTAGCATAGCGCTGCGGCAGACATCAGAGGAGCCTGGCAGGAGAAATGCAGCGGATTACAGTGAAGAGACAGATTCGGGATTGAAGCAAAGATCAGACGTTAAAGCTCCAGCAGCTTCAGCTTCGGGCTTACTGTTCGAATCGGATGTTTCGCAGATCTCCGTTATTGATACGGATGATGCAGTCGTTCTCCTGGAAAAGGCCCTGGTGCTCGGCCTTCCCTCCCCTCTCCAGACGCTTGACCAACAAGCCAAGAGTCCTAAAAGGTTTGAAAGCTCATGTCAAGCAGATTCAACACAAAATAAAACCCCCTGAGTAAAAACAATAAGAGAATGGTAGGTAAAGAAATACAACATGATCTTCTAAGATTAGGCTTGTGTCTCTCAGAGTGTCCCTCCCCGCTCAGCTCCTTCAGACTAGCCAGCAACTCTTAGCAAACAGCTGGTGGAACTGCTGAGTTTAATATAGGAGCTACTTCTCAGTGAAACGCTGATAAAAACATTGGAAAATGGTTCATACGTTGACTTTCTTAAGGCAGAGTTTCAGAAAGAGAAACGTTTTAAAGAGATAAAGGCCCAATCAGGAAGAAACATTTAATTAAAGTCATATTTTTAATGTAAACAGCTCTAGAAAAAATGAACAGACCACTAAAAGTTTCTCTGATTTTACTTTTTACAGGTATGTTTGAGTGAAATGAACATTGTTATTTTATACAGTGAACTACTGACAGGATGTCTCTGAAATCACAAGCACAAATTTAGGATTTATTTGAAAATAAAACATGGACAAAATAAGGAAAAAGATGTAGAGCTTTTAGAAGAAAACAAATTCATAATACCGATACTTAGGAAGTGTCCAGAAATCAATATTTGGTGGAATAACCAGGAGGTTTTCAATGGGGTTCAATGCAGTGGGCTATTAGTTGTAATATATGTACATATAAATATATATCATTTTTATAACTACTGAAGGTAACAGAGTTACTTTATTGTGTTATAAAATGGCTCTTTGTGAATAGGAAACACATAATGCTGCCACTTTGAAGTTCCTCATTTAGCTGCTTTATTCCCTTTCATCTCTTATGCAAACAGCAAAGCTGCACTGAGTTCAGCTTTATGTTGAATAAATAATCAGTCTGGATGCTTTTTACATTTCAGGATGGGTTTGGATAATAGTAGAACCTGGATTACGCCTTAATGCACAAGTTAGATGATGGATGTAGAACTGAGGTTGTTATTTAAAGCTCTTTGGTTTTTGCTTCATTCTGCAGGTATTGAGAGAAACATGGCTGCCACATCACATCAGGTGAGGATGTGCTCGTTGTGCAGTGGCTCTTGCTGACGGTTTGCATGTTCACAGTTTTCTCTGCTGAGTTTCTAGGTGCTTCAACACCCCTGAACATCATTAAGCACGGGGATAAGTCGCACAGAGGGAAGCCACGCTGAGCCGACAGTGGAAAATGGTTTACGCCCCCAGAGGCTAACTCCACCTGAAAGGATTACTGACCGGCACCTCTGGAGGAAAATCAGCCAGAAAATACCTCACACAGCTAATCACTTCTTCTACTTTGCAATATTATTATTTTCTTGAGGTAGTGTGGGCTCATGAGAGTAAATTCCCTTGATTCCAATGAAAGACGAAAAGTTCTGGAGTTTGTAAAGGACAGAGAAACATTTTTTTGATTGAATCACAGTAAAAAAAAACAACAAAAAAATAAACACAATGTGATTTGCAGAAGAGGAGGATAAGCCATTCCTCTGATGAAAGTCAGATCTTACTGCAACGCTCGAAATGACGTTTGTCCCAGTAAAAAGAAAAGTGCATTATAAATTTGCTTTTAGGCTGATTAAGCTGAGAGTTGGAGGGAAAGAGGATACTCTGCCTTGGTTTAGAGGAGTTTGTCTGAGTTTATGGGCCAGATTCTCACTTTTATGGTTTATAAAGTTGCAGGATGCACTGCAAAAACATAAAATGTTACAGGTAATTTTGGTCCAGTTTCTAATGCAAATATAGAAATAAGACAACCCAAGTAACTCGTTTAAAGTCATTAAATATCATTTATTTAACATAAATTGGGAAAAATGTCTTCCTATAAGTAAAATAATGTTAGCGGCTAAAGTACATTTTTAAAAAGTCAATATTAAGGAATTATCAACTTAAACCAAGCTCCTATATCCTGCTGGAAAGGTCATTTTAAGCTTATTTTGTTATGTTTCTAATGTATGATAAGAAATGAGACTAAAAGTGTTTGTAACATTTTGTTTTTGCATTGTGAAATATGGAACTCCATGTTCTACTTTTATCCAAACTCTGTTTCTGTTCTTTTAACATCTGGAGATTTTTAACCCAAATTCCAGAGTTTTCTTTGCTGCTTGTCTCTATAAACCAGATGCTGAATTCAGCTTCTGTCCATGTGTGTTTGCAGGGAGCTGAATGTTGCGAACGCAGCTTCGCAAAAACATGTTGAACAGCAGCCATGCTGGAATATGACGACCATTTGAAAACAAAAACCACCCTGATTGAAAATCAGAAACTGGGAAATGGTTTCACGATGCTAAAGCTGGACTGTGTGTGTGTTTCAGATGGATGATCTCAGGTTTGATGGAGTCATGTGGCAGAGAGGAATGTCTGTTCTTCGTGTATATTTGTGTCTGATGTGGTTCAGAACAGATTATATTTCCAAAAGAAAACACCTTTTTGTTTTATTAAATCACCAAACTTGTGCTGAAGGAAGTGCAGATGGTTTTAATGATTAAAAACATAACAGCTTTATTTATTTTTTTAGAAATGTGGAGTGTTTTTGATCCTTCAGAGCTCTCCGTTTGTCATTTTTACCTGCGGTCCCTGCCACTGAAAGGCACCACGTGGATCCCCAGAGGCCCGCCGTCGTTTGACACCTCCACCAGTTTCACAATGTCTCTGGGAGACAGGTGGATGACAGGCGCAAAGGTGGAGGGGGGCGGAGCAGACACCATGTGGGTAACACAAAACAAATAATAAAAAGAAGAAATAAGGCAAAATAAAAAATAAGTGCACAACAAAAAAGGCTCCATGTTAATTCAACCCCATTTTACACTTTTAGTTGCTCCAAAACCTGATTTTATTTTATGCAAAGGAGATTTAAGGTCACATTAAACAAATAAAATAATGAAATTACAAGAATAAAGTAGAAATAATGCGAGAATAAAGTCGCAGTATTACAAGAATATATCAACTTTATACTTTAATCTCATATTAAGACTTTATTCTCACTCTTGTAGAGCTTTATTTTAATCAAATTATGACTTTATTCTCATAATACTGAATTCTGATTCTCATCCGAACTAATTTTTATCATATTGAGACTATTTTCATACTTTTTTTATTTTTGTTTAGTATGGCCCTAATACACAGTCATAATTTTTTACCCAAAATGAAAATAATTTATCTTGTAGATTTAATCATCTCTTTGTGTTGTGCTTGTTATTGTCTAAGGACTTTATATAAACATTATTTCTATCCAATTGTAGTTCTCACCCACATTAGTTCCAACCAGTCTGATAAAATATATTTTTAATGTGATTATAAGACTTACAAAAAAGTTCCAACAAAGCTCTAGTTTGTTTTATTTTTTTTTTTTTTTACAATTCATCAAGTTTGTAGCTGTGCTGCATTCACTGCATTAAATGAAATGGGAAAATGTTAGGAAAGCATAAAGTGGACAAATTAACCGAGTCATTTGGTCTTTTCATCCATTTCACAATTTTGCAGCTTTAGGTTTTTCAAACCCAGAAAAACGAGGAAAAAATAATTTCTAGAACTTAACCTGCTGTGATAATTGAGGGCTTGGAGCAATAATCTAAAGTTTGCTGCTTTGCTTGCTGTCAGGATCTGTAATTACGTGACTAAAGGTTTTCTGGTTTGATCAGGGCTCAATATAAAACGGTGAAGGAGTGAATTAACAAAGAGCCTCAATAAATATTAACAGAAAATAGGAAAACGTATTGCAAAGGAGACGAATGATAACAAAAACTTCAAATAAATCGTGATGGAGAAAGATCCTAAAAAAACAACATAAAACCAAAACCCAACTTGTGCTGCTACTTGGTGAATAAAGAAAATGTGCAGAAGCATCAAGGTTGCATTCATTTCTTTATATTTTTCTTCTGAGCAGCTTTCTCCTTCATGGAGAGTTTTAATGTGGACTTCGTGATACTTGGGATGCCATTTTTGTAATTAAACACCATGCAATACTGTATGTGTTTGCAGTGAAGCACAAAACCAGGACTGGAAATGCTTCACAAAGTCTGGAAAAACTGAAAAATAATAGAAATTTAGAAATAAACGAGTAGTTTGCTTCTCAACTTGTGACAGTTGTTGCTGGTTCGGACAAATTAGAGTAGAAAAAATGTCCAGTCATCAAATTATTGCAGAACAAAACCAATAAATGCACAAACAAAGCAGGACTTTTAAAAACAAACCTTGTTGAATTGATCCTGGGGAGTAAAAGTGAGTTCCCACAGGATAAATGTAACTTCCTCTGCTGACAGAAAAGTTGTAAAACTTCCTGGCAGGATGTGGGATCAACTCATCGGCTTGTTTTCACTCCATGTTGTTGAAATTTAAGCCTATTGGCTGTTTTTATCAGCGCTTTTATTGTCATTTACTCTAATTTTCTCCATAACAGAAGACAAAATAAAAACACCACAAGGCAGCAAACAAGAAGCAGAACAGCAGATGCTTTTATTTTGGAAGAAAGAAGCAGGAAATGCAGGAGAAAAAGAGCAAAAAGACAAAGTTTATCCTTCTGCGACCTGCCATGACTTTTAGGAGACAATAAACGATGTCAGCAATTTTGATCCTTTAAAACAAACGAGTCAAACTCAAGGCTCAGGGGCCAAATCTGGCCCGCTGGAAAGCCTTATGTGGCCCAGAAGGGCCACGTGAATAAAACCTTGAAAATATTCATAGGAAGAAAAATTATATTTGATCAATCAAATGAAAGCAGTTTTCAATGGAAGAGGGTTAAAAGCTCTGAACTTTCCTTCAGATTTTGACTTTTTTCTCAGAATTCACCAAAATTATTCTGTCTTTAATCGTCTAAGATGGAAATTTGAAATTTTGAGAAAAAATTATTCTGAAGAAAAACAGAGACATCATGAAGGAGAAAAAGTTGAATGTTATTTAACTTGAAGAAGTGCAAAGGCAGCTATTTACTCAAAAGTTAGAGGTTTATTTGTTGGTTTTATCAAGACCAGCCCTTTCAGGACGTCCATAATCTGCTTTAAATATAAAAAACCCACCTCAATGGGTGTAGGTGAGTTTTTCCCCACTCTCAGCCGTTTTCCTGGCTGTGAAACCTGCACTCTGGCATATTTTAAAAGCCGTCGCATCTAATCCGCTTGCAGCTTAGATGCGACGGCTGTGATTAGCTCGGGGAGAAAAAGGCCCCCTTGTTGACAGCTAAGAAGGCGGGAGAAAGCCAGACTCTCAGTGAAATCACAGGAATAATAACTCCATACCTGCATATTAAGCTGGAGGCATGCGACGGAGCAAAATAACAAAACAAAGCACAGTTGTTAATAACAGGAGCAGAACAGGTTAGCGTGTGGGCGAGCTCTGACGGCGAGATGAGGATCATTCTTCTCCCACAAAAGATAATTATGTAAATCAGGGAGCGGGCCTTAAAGGGAGATTTTGCACAAACAAACCGGGACCGCGACACAGAACCTGCTGCACGGAGCTTTTCACAGACGATTAAATGTCAAAAAGAGAAGAAATTTATTTATCCTGCACAGGAAACGCTGTAAAAACAATCTGCTGATGAATTATCAGAGGAAGAACACCACAAAAACGCAATTTATGTTTAACAGTCATGTGCACTTTGGTTTAATAAACCAATACCATTTCCGACTCCGTTTTTAGTTTTGAACTTAAACCAACAGGTAAAACTACATGATCAGATAAGAGTTCAATACTATAGCAGTGTAAAATCTGCCTTCAAACTCATTTAAATTCAGCAGAAAGGTCACCTCACTCAAGCGTTTCCCTTCGGATAACAAACAAGAGGAAAGTGCAAACAGGAAGGCTAATTAATAAACTCGACTTGGCTGACTTACTCCAGAGATCTGACAGGGGTGTGCTCCATGCAGGAGTCGGCTCGGCCAACCGGCTCGATTCGCCCGTTCTCATCCTCCCTGCTCTCCTCCTCCTGCAAAACAAAACAACCAAGGTTGGAGAGAAAGAAGACCGACCTCTGCTGCATGCCAAGGTTTCCTTCATATGTCTGAGGATTGCCTCAGATTACAGAGATTAATAACTGCAGTGAGTTATGAATCTGTGGGGATCCAGCAGATTTAGCTTTACAACTTCTGGCAGCAGGCAGCTGTCCTTGGCAGCTTCCTGATAGAAATGAGCTTTTATTGGTCAATTTTGCTGCACTTTGTTTGTTTCTTCAGAAAAAAAAGAAAGTCGACAAAATAAAATCTTGGATTCTTTTCATGCCAGATCCGACTTTAATCAATTTTTTTTCTTCGCCTACTTTTCTACATTCCTTTTGGGAGTTATGTGACGGGGTATTAGCGCCAGGCTACAAGATATTTTGCTTAATTAAAAGAATATAGTCACAATATTAGCAAAAAAAAAGCAATTTTACTACAAGAATGCTTAAAATTGTTTTATTAATATATATAAAAAATAAAAGTAGGATAATTTATTTTTTGTTGATTTTTGCATGAGTGTTTTAATAAAATTACAATTTTATTCTCCTAGAATTGCAACTTTATTGTGGTATTAGTTCAATTATCATGTTTTAATTTTCATATTACCTCGTTTTACTGTGTTCTTTATTCACTTTGACTGTATTCCTCAAATATTATAACTTTATTCTTGCAGTAAAAACAGAAAAGAATCAGTCCGGCCCCAACCCTTCATCATGGAGCTCAAAGTCCAAATTAATTAAAGAAACTTATCAAACAAAATGGCCGCCACGATGTCGTGACATCATTCTGAACTATGGAAACCCAACGAGTCCATTAATGAAAAAAAGTCCAGATGAATCAATAAAATGTATCGATTGATCGCCCAGTTCCAGTTTTGCCACCTTCTGATCACCTCAATCATCAGCAGATTCAAACTCCAGCTCTGCGTCAAAACCCTGAAACCTTTGATTAAGAACAATCACTTCATGCAGCCAGGAGGACGTTGTGAATAATTTAAATGCAGCTGTTTAGTTTCACTGTTATATGCACCTGCTGGGGCCACAGTCAGTGTTTTTTGATACCCTGAAGAAAAAGACACATATTCATCTGATGTGCATCTAGTGTGGATTCTGTGTTAAACTTTTTGAATATTAATTAAACGGAATGAAATTTAAACGCAGTTGAATGTCTCATTATTGTAAAAATTGACGGGTAGAAATGCATCGACAGAACGTCTTTGATGCAGTGAGTCAAAATGACACAATGAGAGAATCTAACGCCATCACTGATCCTAACGAAACCTGTCGCAACAAGCAAAACATCAATTAACCGCATGATAAATTAAAATGAGCTGAATAATTTTCATTTTTCTCTTTTCTCTCTCTTTCAACAAAAGTCTTCGGTCTGTTGTTTTGGTCTCATCGATGTAGATTCATATTATTTGTTGCTTCTGTTGTTCTGGATGTTTAAATTATCTTCCAGTTCCAGTGTTAAATGTTCATTAGAATTTAAAGTTTATTGTGTTTATTATTATTATTACCATTATATTACTTGAAAATATTCTCAAAACAACAATAATATTGTTTATCACAATTTTTCTAATGATGACAGGCCTGGTCCTACCTTCACTGGTCAACAAGTCAGAATCTCTGAATGCTTCCTCTTTGCAGAACAACTTTGTGAATTACTGCCCCCTAGAGTTGGCAGCATGCTATTGCTAGGATAAATACAACCTCTCCATGTTGCCTCCAGTCATCCTTTTAAACGTGTTAAAATCCTCAAACCCGACTGATCCGAACCCAGAAACGAAGCTGATTGGCAAACCTGCAGACGCCAGGAGTTGCAGACTGGAGGAGGTCTTCCTAACGTATAGAAATACATGCCCTTCAAACGGTCTACCGTCTGCAGACTCTCATCGCCTTTGTTCTCCTCACCCGTCACACTGTGTGTGTATGTTTGAACAGTCGAGCTGAGCATGCACACACACACACACACACACACCACACACACACACAACACACCACACACACACACACAACACACCACACACACACACACACACACACACACACACACACACACACACACACTCAGAGGGCACCGTGAGTAGAAAAACGAGAAGCAGAGGGGAAAAAAAAGGTCATTAAAATTTCAGGGCGACACCGGAGAGGAGAGACGAGCCGCAGCGGCAGCAGCAGCAGCAGCAGCGGCGGCGGCGGCTCAGACCTCCCCGGCAACTGGCCTCATCAGTATGAAAATGAGCCTGCCGTTACCGTGGCTGCCGTACGGTTGCCATGACACTTTGGTTGCCTGGAGGACATGCCGCTGCACGGCGGTGGATGAATGCACCACCGCCATGCAATCCACCGCCCTGCAATCCACCGCCCTGCAATCCACCGCCCTGCAATCCACCGCCATGCAATCCACCGCCATGCAATCCACCGCCATGCAATCCACCGCCCTGATTTAAAATGTGATTTTGTTCATATTTATTATTGTAATTTATTATGCTGCCATTAATAATTGCCAAACTCTTTGTGTCATTATTATTGCAACAACGACAAAAAAGATTATTTGAAAAAACTAGGAAGCCAGTTTAAAGGCAAATGAGTAATAATTTGGATTTTCTTTCTCCTACCTTGTTGTGTAAAAATAATCTTTCAATGCAGTAATATAACTATGAAAATATTGGTAAATTCAGCCTGTAAGTATATCATTCTAGATGCCACTAAAACGGCACTTAGTGCGCTATAAAGTTTCACGTGGTTAGAGCGAAACAGATCTTCTTTCTAGATCTTCCAGCATCATCGTTTGGCCACGTTTTTCTCTTCCTCTCAGGTTATTCTAGTGTTTTTTAACCGGGTTTAGTTCTGGGAAATGAGGCGGCAAAGTAAAAGCTTGATATCGTGTCTGGTTTGGTATCTGTGCGTTGATTTGAGCCACATGTTTTGGATTATTATCCTGTGGAAACACCCCATTTTTCACAGCAAAAACACAATCCCACCAAGTATTTTTGTCCAGTTTCCAGTGCAAATACACTTGAAATAATACATGCTTGTTTTAATAATTCCTTATTGATGAAAAATTACTGGCTCCATTGGGAGATTATTTCACAAGACAAGATATTTTCAACCTGTTACGAGTTAAATCATTTGCTAACAGAACTAATTTAAAACAAGCTCTTCTAGTTTGCTGAAACGTTACGTAAAAGTTTGTCTTATTTCAAGAGTACTAAGATATTTTCTGCAGACAAAAAGTACTGGAAGATTTTTTGTTTCTGAAGAGTTGAGCCATTTTCCATTTACTGCCAAATACCAGGATTTTTATTTAAAACCTCCTGCTATTTGTGTTTTTAAATCTAAAAAGAAAAATATATTCAACTGTATATTTTCTCAACCTGTCTGAAGGATACAATTAAACCTTAAAAAGTATATTTCTTATACAAAGTGGGGTTGATGTCTGACAAATGGAGGAATGAAAGGTTATGAACTTTACTAGGAGATTATTAGTTTTGATTCTAGTCAATGTGTATTGGATCGGCGTCTGCCGATTCTGAACCTTAGATGTCTGTATCGGTATCGGTAATGGATATTAGTTTCTCTGCTTTCTGTGCCAGAAAGATGCATTTCTACCTATTTTAGATCCGTTTCTTTTTCAGCGTGAGAATTTGCTACTGCAATTAAACAATCTTTACAGGGAATGCCAAGCAGTGTGGCAGATGCTGAGTTTTAATCTAGAAAGGAAATGAAGCAAAAACTGCTGCTGTTTCAGTGTAATTATAAGTTTTAAGCTGCTTTGTTTCCAACAGACTCCTGAGTTTAGCAGCTGTGAATGACGAATGGAACAATAAAACTACAAGCGCTCCAACTTCTGGCTGAAAAGTCCAGCTGGAGACACTCGGAGAGACACGCCGCCATCAGCACGACGCCCACTCCCGAGGCAGATTGATGGCCGCTTTAATAATTCAGGGTTAATGGCGAGCAGAGGAGGCAGCCAGGTAGGCCGGGCTACGAGTGTTTTCCAGCCGAGTCATTGTTTGTTTCCTGGATGTGCCAAGGGAGGAAGGCAGAGTCGGGGGCTCATTAAAGATTAATGGGAGATCCATCGGGGCCTGTCCTTTCTTTCTCTCAGAGTAAATGAAGTGGTTCTGTGGACCTCAGGAAGAGACTCGGCGCAGTAATGAAGTGCTACCTGCTCCTCCTTTTCTTGCTACTTTGATCCTGCATGTGGATGCATGCAAACGCATCCAGCTTTTTGAAAAACAAACTACTAAACAGGTGTAAAACATCAGAAACTATAGGTTTCTTGATTTGAAACTAATGGAAATAATAAGTATTTCTTTCCTCAGACTCACTGGGAATAATGCGATTGGACAATCAGGTCTTTGAAATAGTTGAAACTTAAAAATACTTGATTAATGTTTTAAACAAGTTTCCTCAAAGAGTTGCTGTAAATTCTGATGGCTGCTGACAGGAAGAATCTCCTGTAGCAGTCTGTGTTACAGTGACTCTGATAAAGCTTCTGACTGAAGCTGCTGTTGTCTAGCAGTCTGATGAGGAAGATCAGGGTTTTGTCCAATACTGGGTGAAATAACAACTACTAAGATAAAATAAGATAAATACATACATTGTCTTTCATTTCATTGTTTATTTGGAATATATGTGCATTTTTAACAAATGTTTAAATTGCTTAATTGATTTCATAATTGGTGGAAAAACTTAAATACATCACAAAATGAAATTATGAAAGAGTATTTGCCATTATTTAGCAATATTTTTTTATTCATAAATGGTGAAAAATAAAAGTTTCTGAAATACGTAAAGTAGTTTTGGAAGATAAAACACTACTATGAAATAATTAAAAAAAATAAACGCAGTGACAAAAATAAGCTCAGAATTTGAAAATAACAAAATTCTAAGCTTATATTTATTTGAAGGAGTATTTATCAATTATTTATATTTTTAATTTCATCAAATAAAACTTTAAATAAAATATGAAATAAAAAAACTGT